CCCACCCACCCACCCATCCGGTCACTCACCCATCTCAGCAGGGTCGGTCCTGACGGTCGGCATGCCCTCCTGCCGCATCCTCACCAGCCGCCGGTAGTCGTCACCGCCGCCCGCCTCATCCGGTGACGAACGGGGAGATATTCCCGGGGAGAGGCCCGTCTGTGGCGACTCGACGCCACCGACCGACATGGCTTTGGTCCGCCGACGGCCGGTGGTAAGCTGGGGCGCCAATGGCGAGGGGGACGGCAGCAGCTTCCACCCGTAGCCCGAAGGAACGCGAAGAAGGGCATAAATGGGCTGTTGAACGACATACACAAAGCAGAAGAGACAGACGCATTGTACAAGTGATGCAGACTGGCAGCGTCGCACACATGCCGACTGACCGGAGTGTCGATGTCAGCGGTGGGCACCTCAATGCCAAACCGTGTAGCCAGCCGGGATGCCCTCACAGCTATGTTGATGCTGAGAGTCACGGGGCTGACCGAGCACGATTTGCCCGTTCGCACGTTGGTGAAGGCGATGTAGGTGTAAGGGTCGTCCAGGCTGGGGTGGTGGCTGGCGGACCCTCGGCCTCTGGACCGCGGTAGAGCCAGGCTCTTGGACGGCTTGGGGACAACGCCATTCGTCCCTCCGTTTGCAGGGGGAACGCGACGCCAACCAAAATCTGCAGACAAACACACCAGAGAAACACTCACACAAGAGTCATGATTGCAATGGAATGGAATGACGCACAGGTCCCTTTCCCTCACTCACCGGGGTCAGGCATCAGCGGGTCGCTGGCACCCTCTCTGTCTTCGAATCGTATGATCTCGCCGTCAGATTTGGCCGACGCGGCCCTGTAGGAGCTCTCAGCGTCCTCGCTCCTGCTGCTGGAGCAACCCATCAACACCCACTGTTGCTCGTCGCTCACGCTGCTGAAGCAAGAACTCTCAGTGAAGTCGTTCACGATGAATCATCACCTATTTGTCATCACTGAGGCCCTTCAACCCACGAAGCACGGCAGATGCGGCACAAAAGTTAGAAAGAAGGCGCGCCACTTTTCACCTGCGAGCTCAAGTGCAGCTAAGCTCGCAGATGAGGATTTCCCCCGGCTCTGATAATGGTCGCGGATCTTTGAATGAAACGGCTATGAAGGCGCTGCATTCTCGGGTCATCACGGCACCACTGCTGCCCTCATTCTGCCCCTCACCTGCCGCTGCTACATCCGCACCACCACGAGTCGCTGCCCGATGTGTCAGCAGCCTCGCAAGCACCATCGGTGCTCCGCCTTTTGGGAGCAGATCTGCATTTTTTGCAGCCTCACCGAAGCGCCTGCAGCATGTGGAGTGGTGGAGGAGTTATCACACAGATCAGCAGTTCAACGATGGGGAGACGGGTCAGTTTCGGCCGCACCCCTTCAACCGCCGCTTCGCATTCTCCAACCGGCCATTCTTTCCCATCGAACCCAGAAATATCAGACGAAAGGTCAGCCGACGTCAGCAGCCGCCTGGTCGTCTGCCTGTTTCCTATGCCGCAATCTTCTCTCTTGTGAGTGTGTTTGTGTTTCTTCCATGCCTTGGTCAGGGTTTGAAGCGTGGTCACAAGAAGATTGGCCGCGGCAAGAACTGGCGCGGCATAGTGTACAAGCACGACAGCGCGCCGCACTACCGACAAGGCGCCCGCACGTTTGAGGGCGGCAACACGCCTCTGTTCAAGCGGCTGCCCAAGTGGCCCGAGGCATGGATGCAGCGGCGGCGCAAGGGGCTGGACCCCCTGAGTTTGGCAAAGCTGAGGGAATGGATTGAGAGGGGGCTGCTCGACACACGGTAGGCGGTAGCTGGGGTGGGAATGGTCGATAGATGGATGGCTGGATGGGTGTTCCTCTGTTGGTTGTGTGCAGGTTTCCCATCACGCAGCGTCATTTGCACGAGTCGCGGTGTTGTCGGGTCAAGAGGGGCGTGCGGCTCTTCAACTATGTAAGTAGGTCATCCTGGCGGTCCCCCCATGTGTCAGTGAGAAACGGGTGGGGTGTGTGTGTGTGTGTTGTCAGAATGACTATCCGTTCCCCTACAAGATTGACATAGAGGTGGCGGGGGCGGATCAGTCATCCATCGACATGATCAACAAAGTCGGAGGTATGCAAGTGCACTCACGGGCAGGACGCGCGGATACATTCATTCGCTTCGCATACATACCTGTTTGCTTGTTGATGTACGTACGTGTCAGGTTCGATCAACATCACCTACCGCACTCGAGTGACGCTGCGTGCCCATCTCCGACCATACAAATTCGAAGTGCTTCCCAAGACGGTCAGTACCGCCACACCACACCACACATCGCATTAGGGCGGCGATCCATGTGTATATGTGTGCGTATGTGTGTTGCCACACATATGCAGCCCCGTCCGAATCTGAAGTGGGTGCACTACTTGGAGGTGATGCGTGCCAGGGGCTGCAAAGTCAGATACATCAAACCCATGTGGCTACTGCAGGTATGTAGGACAGACCATGAGACCAAACGCAACAACAAACAGAGGAAAGACACACGCGCCGTCCTTCTGTGTGTGCGTGTGTGTATCAGGAGGAGCAGCGCGTCCGCACAGAGCTCGCGGAATTCGACGCAGAGGTCGCCGCAGCCGACGGTGAGGATGCCAAAACACCACCACCACACCCACTCATCCATGCACCCCTCTCTCCTGGCTTCAGGTATGGCCATCCCCCCCGCCCAGCAGCTGATGCTCGCTGCCGGCGGCGATGCCGCTGCCACAGGAGGCGAGAGGAAGCCCGAGTTGTGGCGGAAGGGCTTTGGTGGCATTCCCCTCTATGACGACCCCAATGTCAAGTACCGGGGAGCGCGGCGGGGCGGGCCGGAGGGTTTGGGCTTCCTCAACCGCGGCAAGGCCGAGTTCAGATACAAACGCAGCCTTTTCGGGGAGCCACGGCTCAGATGAGTACATGAATGGATGGATGGATAGATGAGGGGAGGTGGGGAGGGTGTTGTTTGTGGCCGTTGCCTCGAGATGGCGTATCTCGGCTGCGACGACGGCAGACAGATGCACAGAGAGGCTCTGCATCTGTCACTGTCTGATTCTCGTCCAGCTTTGCAATCTGAGGAAGGGCGAGAGAGAGGCAGATAGAATTTTTGATGAAGTGCGTGAAGCAGGGGTATCAATTTGTATGGCAGTGCTCGTCTGGGGGGCAGTGGCGTGTTCGTGGTGGACTTGAGAGCGGCGAATCGACCTCATGCTTGCAGCCATTCGTTCATGTCGTTCATCATTCGCATGAATGAATCTGTGCTGAGGAGCCGCTCTATCGGTCCGTCCGTCTGTCTGTCTGTCTTTCCTTTTCGTGCGTCATGAACAGCTGCGATGGATGACATCGGTGAATACCCATGAGATGGCATGCAAACATACGACGCGCAAAGGCAGGCTGGCTGTACACACAAGGCACGAACACACTCACGCATCGGTCTCTCCTTCTCTGTTTCTGTCGGCTCAATCGACTCGTGTTGGTGTTGGTGTGTTTCTTCTATCTAATGTGGCTGTGCGGTTCGGTCAGAGGTCGAGGTAGGTGTAGTCGCGACCGTACTCCAGCCGATAGCGACCGCAGTACTCACGACGGGCACACGACACTGCCCTGATAGCACCAATCACGCATCACTTCACGCGCGATGCACACGTGTGTTTATGGCGTTGCAAGACTGACTGACTCACTCGGTCTCGTCAGTGTAGAATGAGCACATTTTTCCATTCTCGTATGCCTGCATCTCCGACATGATATCCGCAAACGTTATGCCCTTAGACTGACACACACGCACACACACAGACACACACACACACACACAGAGAGAGAGAGAGAGAGAGCTGAGGGTGCGTGTGTTCGTCGTACCGGATCCTTGGCCCTCACAGCGAGTGCCAGCGCCTGATTCTCGCCACAGTCGCCACTGCAGATGCCCAGCTCACCCATGTTGCCCTTCTCATAGTCGCGCCAGCCTGTACAACACGCACACACACACCCCTCCATCTCTCTCCATGGACGTGTGCTGCGCAGCCTACGGTTGTTGGATTTGCGCTCCGTCTTGGGTACGTTGGTGAGTATGATTGAGCTGTAGGGGTGCACCACGGCGGCCTTCTTCTGCTTCCACACCTGCTGGGCCTCATGATACAGCCCGCCGCAGCCGTCCAGCCCTCCGGCGAACTCGAGCGGGTCCCAGATGCCTTTGAGGGAGATGGTCTCGGGCTCAGACGGACGGCGGGCCTTCTTGACCTCCAACAACACCTCCTGTCCACACCATTGACCTTCCGTATGGTGGGGTCGGTGTGTTGATGCAGAAGATGCATACCTTCAGACGCTTCTCGTATTCCCTGGCCGACATGCTGCCGCTGCGGTTCTGGCGAGGGACCTGCTGCTGAGTGGAAGACGAAGACGAAGACCGCATCGCGCCAACCAAAGCCTCCGTAAATCTCCACAGGATCCTGGCCGTTGAAAGGACGGCAGCTATTCTCTCTGCGCTTGGCAATTCCTCTGGTCGGAGAAAGCCAATGCAAAGGTGCGGCGAGATAATATTTCGCGACGAGACGAGGGAGACAACCCCGCAAACCCTGATTTATAATTTGAAGTC